GGAACTATCAAGGGGAAAGCGCCAAGCCATTACGACTATATACCACGGGAAGGGGTCAGGATAAGGATATGGGATGGGACGGGGGGAAGGAATGGTGTCCAACCACTTGGACGGTCGGGGATTGAACGCCGAGCGAGTGGACTTCGCCACTAGGTAGTCCGGGTCTACGGCGGGTCCATACTGCCCGTCCTCCTAAGGTTTCCAACGTCTAGAAACTGTCCTACTAAATTGCCCTTATTCTAACTTACCAGAGGACCCAAAACAGAAAACGGGACAGTGTGTCAATTTCGCGAGCCGTTTCCATTATCTAGTACGACAAATTTTGGCCTTATGTAGAGTATATGTCAAAGTGCGACGCTCTATTAGGAGGACGGGTTGACTAAATTGCTTGACCCGAACCGAACCGAACCTAGAAGCCACAAATAGAAAACGTAACAGCCTTTGCGAGCCACTGTGGTTTATAGTACATCATAGTTTGACGTTGAGATGTTTTATCAAAATACGAGATATTATTCAAGAGGACAGCTTGATAGTAATGATAACTCTTATTGGACGGCCAGTGATTGTTTGACGGTCAGTGATTGTTTGACGGCCAGTGATTGTTTGACGGCCAGTGATTGTTTGACGGCCAGTGATTGTTTGACGGCCAGTGACTGTTTGACGGCCAGTGATTGTTTGATGGCCAGTGATTGTTTGACGGCCAGTGATTGTTTGACGGCCAGTGATTGTTTGACGGCCAGTGATTGTTTGACGGCCAGTGATTGTTTGACGGCCAGTGATTGTTTGACGGCCAGCGATTGTTTGACGGCCAGTGATTGTTTGACGGGACAATCCGTGCCGAGCAGACTGCCAAGAAGCCTCACAGTACCTCACAAGAACTCGCCTTACAAGCCTGAGGGGCAGGCGGGAGTAACTTTAAAAGAGCTAACATGGGGTAAAGAATTACCAAACAGACCGAAGTTAGAGAGTAACAGTGAGGGGGGGGGCGAGAAGTGTGAGTGACGCAGGGGTAACAAGCGGAGTACCGCAAGGGTCGCTGCTGGAACACATACTATTTCTCATGTATGTGAACGACCTATCTACAGGAGTTGAGTCTTATATGTTAATGTTTGCAGATGATACAGAAATAAAAACATTTGTGACAGGTGAGGATTATAAGATTCTCCAGGGTGATTTAGGCATGCTGCAGTGTTGGGCTGAAACATGGCCACTGGAGTTCAACTGCAAGTGTAATGCGATGGAAATGGGTACAGGTGTTAGGAGAGCAAAAGGCAAGTGCATGATAAAGGGGAACTACCTTCTTATAACAACAAGAGAAAAAAAACTGGGAGTGGACATAACACCAAACCTAACTCCAGAAGCTCATGTAAATAGAATACCGACAGCGGCATACGCTATACTAGCAGCAGTCACAACCTAAATAAGGAAGTATAAATACTAAGGGAAGATTGTCAGTGGAACAAGAGGAACTGTTCACATGTAATACCTGTACAACAAATGGACTTGGATGTAAACTTAAGACTCAGATGAGTCATAGACATGTTAGAAAGTGTTCCTTAAGCATAAGATTAATGGGAACGTGACAAGAATTAAAGGAACATCTTATTGAACAAACATTCATAATTTCAATTTGCTAGCCTAATAGGTCATGAATCATTGCATTAGTGGATGAAAAACTGGACTACAAGAGCCAGTGCTCGATCCTGCAGCCCCAAATATGAAAGTACACACACACACACACAGACATTGATAATAAAAATATAACATCTGAGCCAGTCCTCCTCCGATATGTAAGCCGAATTCTCGACCAGGATTCGAATCCCTAGACCGATAACGGCGCCATTGTAGGTCTGCGGACCTGGGGTATTACACGGTTTTTATTGTTATTAATATTAATATTGTTAATATCGATAATATTGTTTAAAAGTCTAACATATTTCTAGGCGGCTGTTCTCGTTAAAACAAAAACAAACTCGTGAATTATTTGAAATTTTTCCCAGTAGTTTATTTAGGGATATGTCTTATAATTATTTGTATTATACAGACAAAAAATATTTCCTTTCTATAATATTCGTTAAAAAAACGCAAATTCGTTTGTTTTAATTTTTAATTCTGTATTCATAACTTGACAGTTAATTCTCTCAGCCTTAATGATACCTTAGTGTTTTGTCTGGTAAATGTTCACGTGGCAACTTCTCGCAACACAAAGTGTAAAGTGGCAACTTGAGTAGTGAGAGCAACACAGCACGGAGTCTACTCTGCCCGGGAGTCTACTCTGCCCGGGAGTCTACTCTGCCCGAGAGTCTACTCTGCCCAGGAGTCTACCCGGGAGTCTACCACAACTCTTGAGCCAGAACGACTGATATTTGAATGGAAATAAAACTCATATATATATATATATATATATATATATATATATATATATATATATATATATATATATATATATATATATATACATATATATATATATATATAATATACTAGCTGTACCCGGGCACGTGTTGCTGTGGTTCAGCAACACACATAACCTTCCCCCTGTCTCCCAGTCCTCCCCACTATTCCACCCTCCTCCCATCCCCCTCGTCTTCCTAACCATTCCCCTCTTCCCCCGTCCCTTTGTCCTCCCCACTATCTCCCACTTCCCCCTCCCCTCGCCCTCCCTACCATTCCCCTCTTCCCCCATCCCATTGTCCTCCCCATCATTACCCACTCCCCTGTACCCTCGTTCTCTCCCCATCCCCCACTCCCGTCCCCTCAGCCTCCCCACCATTCTCCCCCTCCCCTCTCCCCTCAGCCTCCCCACCATTGCCCCCCTTCCCCCGTCCCCTCGTCCGATGCGTTCCCAAATAATCTGATGTTCCCATCACTGAAATATAAGAAAAACAATTAAAAAACAAAATGAAAAAAATAAAAATTAAACGAAATGAACGGTATGGTAAACAGCTCAGCTCAATTCCAACGCAATGTCACGCAAAATAATTAAATCAAAATGAAAATAAATACAAATTTATGAAAATTCAATTTGTCAATGCAATCGGAAAAAACTGGAATGAAATCATAACATGTTTAGTACAGCGTGTGTGTGTTGATATTAGGTACAACAGATGGCGCTGTTTTTCAAAAACAACAACATATTTTTACCCATCACAGGTGTGGCATCTATATAGCAAGTATATAAAAACACGCGTGTATTCGAATGGAACGTCGTGTCAAAATTTCAAAGCAATCAGTAAAGAGGTTTCGAAGATTTCCATCACATGAAAAACATATGAAAAACACAGTTTTTCAAAAAAACATGTTTTTTCCCGACACACTCGTGACATCAATATAATCAATATAAATAAAAATGTAAATGTTCGTTTGTTCAAAATCGCTAATCTCCGAAAGTTCTTCACCGATTGCTTTGAAATTTTCACACAATGTTCCATTCGCATCCGAGCAGGTTTATATGTAAATACTATATTGATGTCACGTCTGTGACGAAAACAAACATGGTTTTTTTGAAAAACTGTGTTTTTCATATGTTTTTCATGCGAGAGAAATCTTCGAAACTTCTTTACTGATTGCTTTGAAATTTTGACACAACGTTGCATTTGAACAGGCGCGTATTTTTATATACCTACAATATACATGCCTCACCTGTGACAGGAAAAAGACATGCTTTAAAAAAAAAAACAGCGCCATCAGTTAGATGTAAGAGCAACACACGCTGTAATCTCCCAAAGTTCTTCACCGATTGCTTTGAAATTCTGACACAACGTTCCGTTCGAATATGCGCATGTTTTTATTAACCTACTATATAGATGCCACACTTGTGACAGGTAAAAATATGTTTTTGTCAAAAAAGCCCCATCTGTTGCATGTAATAGCAACACCCACGATATACTAAATAAATATGTTATGAATTCCATTTCAATGTTTCCGATTGCATTGATAAATTGAATTTTCATATATTTCGATTTATTTTAATTTTGATTTAATTATTTTGTGTATCATTGTGTTGGAATTGAGCTGTGTTCTTTACCATATCGTTCATTTCGTGAGTATAAGTATAGATGCCACACCTGTGACATTTAAAAACATGATTTTTTTTTAAAAACAGCGCAATCTGTTGCACGTAAGAGCAACTCATGCTATACTAAATGTTTTACGATTCTATTTCAATGTTTCCAATTTCATTGATAAATTGAATTTTCATAGATATCGAATTATTTTCATTTTCATTTAATACTTTTGTGTGACATTGTGTTGGAATTGAACTTTGTTGTTTACCATACATTTGGTAATGTATTTTAAATAACTCATACATACCCACTCATTTCGTGAGTATAGTTTATTTTTTATTTTTTCATTTTTTTCATTTCGTTTTTAATTGTTTTTCATATATTTCAGTGAAGGGAACATCAGATCATTTGATGTTCCCAATTTTCCAATCGGAACATCAGATCATTTGGGAATGCATCGGATGAGGAAGTGGGGAATGGATGGGAGGACGTAGGGACAAGGGAGTGGGGATAGGTTGGGAGGACGAGGGGAAGGGGGAGTGGGGAATGGTGGGGTGGACTGGGGGACAGGGGAAGGTTGCTGTGACTCAGCAACGAGTGACCGGGTACAGCTAGTATGTATATATGAACACGCTTGGCTGCGAATTAAAAGCCACGTGAAAATTTCAAAGCAATCGGTGAAGAACTTTCGGAGATTAGTCATTATGAACAAACGAACATTTCCATTTTTATTTATATAGATGCAGGTGTCGGTTATTATGTTACAGTATCGGGCAGAAAGGATATATATATATATATATATATATATATATATATATATATATATATATATATATATATATATATATATATATATATATATATATATACGTATATCGGGCATAAAACAGATGCTAGTGTATTTTAGGCCTACATTGGTAGGCTTACCGTTCTCACCTGGTGGAATGTTTATGATTTTTCAGGATCGGAAATTTTACCTTTATAACCTTTTTAATGGCGGGTATCCTGGCGGGTATCCTGGCGGGTATCCTGGCGGGTATCCTGGCGGGTATCCTGGCGGGTATCCTGGCGGGTATCCTGGCGGGTATCCTGGCGGGTATCCTGGCGGGTATCCTGGCGGGTATCCTGGCGGGTATCCTGGTGGGTATCCTGGCGGGTATCCTGGCGGGTATCCTGGCGGGTATCCTGGCGGGTATCCTGGCGGGTATCCTGGCGGGTATCCTGGCGGGTATCCTGGCGGGTATCCTGGCGGGTATCCTGGCGGGTATCCTAGTGGGTATCCTGGCGGGTATCCTGGCGGGTATCCTGGCGGGTATCCTGGCGGGTATCCTGGCGGGTATCCTGGCGGGTATCCTGGCGGGTATCCTGGCGGGTATCCTGGCGGGTATCCTGGCGGGTATCCTAGTGGGTATCCTAGCGGGTATCCTGGCGGGTATCCTGGCGGGTATCCTGACGGGTAGCCTGGAGGGTATCCTGGCGGGTATCCTGGCGGGTATCCTGGCGGGTATCCTGGCGGGTATCCTGGCGGGTATCCTGGCGGGTATCCTGGCGGGTATCCTGGCGGGTATCCTGGCGGGTATCCTGGTGGGTATCCTTGCGGGTATCCTGGCGGGTATCCTGGCGGGTATCCTGGCGGGTATCCTGGCGGGTATCCTAGCGGGTATCCTGGCGGGTATCCTGGCGGGTAGCCTGGAGGGTATCCTGGCGGGTATCCTGGCGGGTATCCTGGCGGGTATCCTGGCGGGTATCCTGGCGGGTATCCTGGCGGGTATCCTGGCGGGTATCCTGGCGGGTATCCTAGCGGGTATCCTGGCGGGTATCCTGGCGGGTATCCTGGCGGGTATCCTGGGGGGTATCCTGGCGGGTATCCTGGCGGGTATCCTGGCGGGTATCCTGGCGGGTATCCTGGTGGGTATCCTAGCGGGTATCCTGGCGGGTATCCTGGCGGGTATCCTGGCGGGTATCCTGGAGGGTATCCTGGAGGGTATCCTGGCGGGTATCCTGGTGGGTATCCTAGCGGGTATCCTGGAGGGTATCCTGGAGGGTATCCTGGCGGGTATCCTGGCGGGTATCCTGGCGGGTATCCTGGCGGGTATCCTGGCGGGTATCCTGGCGGGTATCCTGGCGGGTATCCTGGCGGGTATCCTAGCGGGTATCCTGGCGGGTATCCTGGCGGGTATCCTAGCGGGTATCCTGGCTGGTATCCTGGCGGGTATCCTGGCGGGTATCCTGGCGGGTATCCTAGCGGGTATCCTGGCGGGTATCCTGGCGGGTATCCTGGCGGGTATCCTAGCGGGTATCATGGCGGGTATCCTAGCGGGTATCCTGGCTGGTATCCTGGCGGGTATCCTGGCGGGTATCCTGGCGGGTATCCTGGCGGGTATCCTGGCTGGTATCCTGGCGGGTATCCTAGCGGGTATCCTGGCGGGTATCCTGGTGGGTATCCTGGCTGGTATCCTGGCGGGTATCCTGGTGGGTATCCTGGCGGGTATCCTGGCGGGTATCCTAGCGGGTATCCTGGCGGGTATCCTGGCGGGTATCCTGGCGGGTATCCTAGCGGGTATCCTGGAGGGTATCCTGGCGGGTATCCTGGCGGGTATGCTAGCGGGTATGCTAGCGGGTATCCTAGCGGATATCCTGGCGGGTATCCTGACGGGTATCCTGGCGGGTATCCTGCCGGGTATCCTGGCGGGTATGCTAGCGGGTATCCTAGCGGGTATCCTGGCGGGTATCCTGGCGGGTATGCTAGCGGGTATGCTAGCGGGTATCCTAGCGGGTATCCTGGTGTGTATCCTGGCGGGTATCCTGGCGGGTATCCTGGCGGGTATCCTAGCGGGTATCCTGGCGGGTATCCTGGCGGGTATCCTAGCTGGTATCCTGGCGGGTATCCTGGTGTGTATCCTGGCGGGTATCCTGGCGAGTATCCTGGCGGGTATCCTGGTGTGTATCCTGGCGGGTATCCTGGCGAGTATCCTGGCGGGTATCCTGGTGTGTATCCTGGCATATCCTGGCGGGTATCCTGGCAGGTATGTTAGCGGGTATCCTGGCGGGTATTCTGGCGGGTATCCTGCCGGGTATCCTGGCGGGTATCCTAGCGGGTATGCTAGCGAGTATCCAGTCACTTCGCAGTTAATACATCCCCAGCGGGCTAGGCGGCTGTTGTGGGTCGCACCAGGAGGATAGTTGGCTAGAGTGGGTGGGTAGGAAGCTGCGATAAGCCAAGAAAGCCACCTATCCCCTGGCGGCGGGAAAGCAAAATACTGCAGTGAACATTTCCAAAATTTAAATTTCCACTATTCTCTCTCTCCCCGGCCTGTGTCTTGATAAATCCTCGCCCGGCGCCAGGAGCAGGAGGAGGAGAGTGTATATATGAATATCCCTGACACTCCACCAACTGCCACATGTCATGAAGGAGAACACTCTTCCCTGCCACCGGGAATCGAACTTGGAACACCCTCCACTAGTTCGATACCAGACATCTGTACCAGCGGCCCTGTGTGTGTGTGTGTGTGTGTGTGTGTGTGTGTGTGTGTGTGTGTGTGTGTGTGTGTGTGTGTGTGTGTGTGTGTGTGTGTGTGAGGTGGGGGGGGAGGTGTCATTACAGTAAGGACCTGTAGAAGTTATGAATACAGTTTCTATTTCTAAAGGTATACATATTGTATTTATTTGATTTTGTGTTGTATTATGTGAGGCGTGTTGATGCTTTAATTTGTTTCTTTGATTGTAATGATTGTGTTTGTGGGTAGATTGTACGAACACATGATGTAAAGCAGGCATACGTAACTGAGGAACTATGCCCCGGGAACTATGCCCCGGGAACTATGCCCCGGGAACTATGCCCCGGGAACTATGCCTCGGGAACTATGCCCCGGGGAATAAGAACCGCGTGACTGGGCACGACAAACATCTCATCACCATCTCAACGGAGCCGGTTGATCTTATAACGAAAAATAAACACGACCGTCGACCGCCTTGAGCGGACCTGCTTGCTCCTCCTGCGGCGTCGTGGAGGAGTCTCTCATCTCTCTCATCATGTCAGAGATGAGAAATCGAGGGTAGGTCTATCGTTGCCATTTTGCAAAGTGCAAAATGGCCACGATAGGCCTACACTCTGCCTTCCTTGCACCCGATTGCGTCGCATTTGTTTACGAAAGTGACCAGTCCGTTACTAATGCGATCTTTTAGATAGAGAGCCGTTATGCTGATGCTTCTTATGGGTCGGAGTCAGCAGGTTTGGTGGGTTGGTGGGGTGTGTACGTGTCTGCTTGGGCACCTGAGGCTATGTTATCTCTGCTTCTGCTTCTGCTTCTCCTTCTCCTTCTCCCCCCCCTCTCTCTCTCTCTCTCTCTCTCTCTCTCTCTCTCTCTCTCTCTCTCTCTCTCTCTCTCTCTCTCTCTCTCTCTCTCTCTCTCTCTCTCTCTCTCTCTCTCTCTCTCTATTTATGTATATTACCAAGCCTAACCCTGCCCAGTAATGTGTATACTATGTATACTCTGACCTCCGGGATACATATTTTCCACCTGACAGCCCATGGATACCACACGTGGGCAGGGAATGAAGGTTGTGGAAGAGGTGGATAATGAGGAAGGTGGAGAGGGGAAGGGGAGGACAGGATAGGAAATGGGTGACTATCCCCCATTCCCCAAATTGTCTGGGAAGGGGTCTAGGAGGGGGCGACCAAGACGTTAGGACTAAGAGAGGGGGTTGGTGGAGGGGGGAGGGAATTCTGGGCAACACATAATGAATATTTTTATTGGTAATGTAAATGTATGTTGTGGGAGGAGGGGGGGTTGTGGTGGGGGTTTCAGGGGATGAAGGGGGGGGCGGGGATGGTTATAGAGGGGGGAGGTTGTATTTGGTTGGGGTGGGGGAGGGTAGTGTTGTGGGTAGATATTAAGAAAGAGGAAGTTCATTGTGTTGGAGGAAGCTCCCTGGATTACCCCAGTGTTGGAGGAAGCTCCCTGGATCACCCCAGTGTTGGAGGAAGCTCCCTGGATTACCCCAGTGTTGGAGGAAGCTCCCTGGATTACCCCAGTGTTGGAGGAAGCTCCCTGGATTACCCCAGTGTTGGAGGAAGCTCCCTGGATTACCCCAGTGTTGGAGGAAGCTCCCTGAATTACCCCAGTGTTGGAGGAAGCTCCCTGGATTACCCCAGTGTTGGAGGAAGCTCCCTGGATCACTCCAGTGTTGGAGGAAGCTCCCTGGATTACCCCAGTGTTGGAGGAAGCTCCCTGGATCACCCGTGTTGGAGGAAGCTCCCTGGATCACTCCAGTGTTGGAGGAAGCTCCCTGGATTACCCCAGTGTTGGAGGAAGCTCCCTGGATCACTCCAGTGTTGGAGGAAGCTCCCTGGATTACCCCAGTGTTGGAGGAAGCTCCCCGGATCACCCCAGTGTTGGAGGAAGCTCCCTGGATCACCCCAGTGTTGGAGGAAGCTCCCTGGATCACTCCAGTGTTGGAGGAAGCTCCCTGGATCACTCCAGTGTTGGAGGAAGCTCCCTGGATTACCCCAGTGTTGGAGGAAGCCAAGCCTGGATCACTCCAGTGTTGGAGGAAGCCAAGCCTGGATCACTTCAGTTGGAGGAAGCTCCCTGGATCACCCCAGTGTTGGAGGAAGCTCCCCGGTTCACTCCAGTGTTGGAGGAAGCCAAGCCTGGATCACTCCAGTGTTGGAGGAAGCCAAGCCTGGATCACTCCAGTGTTGGAGGAAGCCAAGCCTGGATCAAGCCACTCCTGGGACTCCATAATTGGCCAACATTCTCCCCTAATTTTTACTGACGGTCAAAATGCCAGTATAAAATGTTGTCAGGTTGAGCCGCAGGTGGCAACACTCCCCTGATTCAGGGGGTTCCGCCCCAATTTGAGACAAAAAACATTATTTGGTTGTGTTTTTTGTTTCATATGAATTATGATTTTGGATTTTTTTATCCTGCTATCAATATATTAGATGAAAACATTATTTTTGTGTGTTTTTGTTTAAAGTGAATTATGTGTAGTCGCTTTGTTTGTATTATTTTTTTTATTCAGATTACAAAGGTATATTTCAGCTGTTTTGTTGAATATGTATTTGTGTGTCTTGTTCTGAAGCTGTTTTTATATAATGCTGACGGTGTTACGGTGACGGGGGGGGGGAGTCACTGTGACGGTGTGAGGTGGGGTGGGGGTCACTGTGACGGTGTGAGGTGGGGTGGGGGGTCACTGTGACGGTGTGAGGTGGGGTGGGGGGTCACTGTGACGGTGTGAGGTGGGGTGGGGGGTCACTGTGACGGTGTGAGGTGGGGTGGGGGGTCACTGTGACGGTGTGAGGTGGGGTGGGGGGTCACTGTGACGGTGTGAGGTGGGGTGGGGGGTCACTGTGACGGTGTGAGGTGGGGTGGGGGGTCACTGTGACGGTGTGAGGTGGGGTGGGGGGTCACTGTGACGGTGTGAGGTGGGGTGGGGGGTCACTGTGACGGTGTGAGGTGGGGTGGGGGGTCACTGTGACGGTGTGAGGTGGGGTGGGGGGTCACTCTGACGGTGTGAGGTGGGGTGGGGGTCACTGTGACGGTGTGAGGTGGGGTGGGGGTCACTGTGACGGTGTGAGGTGGGGTGGGGGTCACTGTGACGGTGTGAGGTGGGGTGGGGGGTCACTGTGACGGTGTGAGGTGGGGTGGGGGGTCACTGTGACGGTGTGAGGTGGGGTGGGGGGTCACTCTGACGGGGGGGGGGTAGTAGGGCTTCACCCTTCTGGGGTGATGAGTTTTCTGTTGCATGTTGGGCTGGGGATCATTCAAGCTGTACTCACCTAGTTGTGCTTGCGGGGGTTGAGCTCTGGCTCTTTGGTCCCGCCTCTCAACCGTCAATCAACAGGTGTACAGGTTCCTGAGCCTATTGGGCAGGAACTGTGTGTGTGTGTGTGTGTGTGTGTGTGTGTGTGTGTGTGTGTGTGTGTGTGTGTGTGTGTGTGTGTGTGTGTGTGTGTGTGTGTGCGGCAAGCCACCTATTGTAAATGGAATATCGTCCATACATACACACATCCAATTATATATATATATATATATATATATATATATATATATATATATATATATATATATATATATATATATATATATATATATATATATATATAATATATATATATAGATACAGGGGAATAGTGTCATTCCCCTGATATATATAATATATATATATATATATATATATATATATATATATATATATATATATATATATATATATATATATATATATATATATATATATATATATATATATATAGATTCGATAGATACAGCGATAGCAGGCGGCTTGACGTTTGCGAGGCACTACACATCAAGAAGTCAACACCAGCAATCAACAGCCAATTATTGCACAACTATATTCTACCCACCTCAAGACTCCGCTCCAATATAGAAGCATCAAGAAATATGGACCAATAGGCTTTCTACAAACACTTCTATTCAATACCCATTGTTTCTGTTCTGTCTTGTGTTGATACTTTTAATACCCTATTAATATCCCCTCTTGTTCTGTCTTGTGTTAATGCCACATCACCCCTCCCACCTCACTCAAATGTAGATATATATATATATATATATATATATATATATATATATATATATATATATATATATATATATATATATATATATATATATATATATATATATATATATGTCGTACCTAGTAGCCAGAACGCACTTCTCGGCCTACTATGCAAGGCCCGATTTGCCTAATAAGCCAAGTTTTCATGAATTAACATATTTTCTCTAATTTTTTTCTTATAAAATGATAAAGCTACCCATTTCATTATGTATGAGGTCAATTTTTTTGGATTAGAGTTAAAAATATCGTAGATATATGACCGAACCTAACCAACCCTACCTAACCTAACCTAACCTATCTTTATAGGTTAGGTTAGGTTAGGTAGCGGAAAAAGTTAGGTTAGGTTAGTTTAGGTAGGTTAGGTGGCCGAAAAACAATTAATTCATGAAAACTTGGCTTATTAGGCAAATCAGGCCTTGCATAGTAGGCTGAGAAGTGCGTTCTGGCTACTAGGTACGACATATATATATATATATATATATATATATATATATATATATATATATATATATATATATATATGTCGTACCTAGTAGCCAGAACTCACTTCTCAGCCTACTATTCAAGGGCTGATTTGCCTAATAAGCCAAGTTTTC